GGGGGGGGGGGGGCGGTCGGTCAGGAATTGAGATAAGAGTTTCCAGCAGACACGCGCGCGCACATGGACGCACGTCCTGCGAGGGCTGCGAGGTTAGTTTTTTCGAGAATGAGGAAAAGAGGTGAAATAAGAAGAAAAGGAAAAAGGAAATGCCGCGAGGGATGCTGTTTTCTCAAAGTATTCTCGCACAATGAGGCTACTGCCCTCGGAGCAGACATGTGTGTTGGGCTTTATATCTTTCAAGTATTCAATTTCAAACCAAGTTTCGGGCTTATCTAAATGTTACGTAACAGCGATAGCGAATGATGCTTGTTTACAGCGAAGTCCGACTGCTGCTACACGCGTGCTCGGCCCACTCTGTTTCCGAGACGCGGAACCTGATCAATGGCCGCGAGTTTAGCGGCAAGAGAAAGGCAGAAGCGCTGGGCATTTTGGATCGATACGAAACTTTGACAAGCTCTGGCTTCTTGGAATTGCTCGTTCCTTTTTCGAAACTGAGATCAAGAGACGCGTCGGCAGGAGGAGGGAAGGTGAATTCACTATTGAACTGTGGGTCGCGGCGAAAGCGTCCTTTCGCGTTCCGATATCTCTGGGTCGCATCTTCCTTTGCCAGCTGGTATCCGGCTAGGTAGATCTAGATCAGCGAAGCTGCCGGTTTCTTCCTTGGTTAATCGGGCTAAGGGCGAAGCCCAGAGGATTCCAGAGTCGCGCTCGGAGCGCAATCCAAGGAAAACGCACTAGTCGACTCAATGGTATGGATGTGTGTGTACTTACGAGGCTTCGCAGCTTCGCCAGGTGGGACTTCGGTCAGCTGGAAAAATAAAAAAGAAACACCAATCAAAATTCACGTGGGTCACTGTAGACGACTCGTCGAAGGGATGAAAGCTGAGGATCGAAGATCGCTACCAGGGAAGAGGAGAGTAAGGAAAGAGACACCCCCGGGCACTTGAGCCTGGGGGATGAAGGTTCGGTTGGGTCGGATTAACAAGAGCGAATTAACCCACGTTTACCGTCTAATCTGACGGAGATTTTCGAATGCTCCGCGGTGGCGCCTCTCGCGAGAGTGGCGGGAGTCGCGAGACACGTTCCGCGGAGAGCCAATCGCCTGGGCGATTCTTGAGTCGGGGCCAAGTAGCACGGGTCTCGGTGGCAGGCTCTGCCAAGCGGGACTCAACTTCTCTCCGCGTGATTAACGGATTTACCTGCGACTTCGCCGCGATTCACCCTGGCCTCTTCTTTATTTGCAATTTTTCGAATCCGCCGAAGATCCGACCTCCGACGTCGGGTGGATTTTCCGGGACGGGGGCATCGGGAGGAAGAGGGAAAGCGGAGGACGGAGATGAAGATGGAGATGGGCGTGGAGCTAGAGGTAGAAGAGAAAGGGTGCGAGAGAGGATACTTCACAAAGTAGATCTAGGCCGGCGATAGATGCGTATAGTCGGTCCACGTGTTCAATTTGTCATTTTGACAGATCGGAAACAATGCTCTTTAGCAAGTTACACGTGGTACCGCTGCATACAAATTTCATTAATAATGTATGCACGTGCATGATTTTATATTGAAATATCTTTTATTTTTCTGCTTCGGCATGTATTTACGTCATCTTATGGAAAGCCACGTGTGATTTGTTAAGAATCGCATTGTTCGCGAAATGTAAAAAAACTCAAACACAGTGAACCCGTGAACCGACTGTACCAAAAGTGGCTCCGTTTACGCGACTTGGGCGCCAGCACTGCGAATCCAAGCGTATTATTCTCTATCCCTCTTCTATGGTAGTCACTTTTTACGCACTTGCTACTGCGTGTTATTCCCACATATTCCGGCGCAAAAATGAGACACTTGTGATTGTGTAAAAAGTGACTACTATAGACAGGATAGGTAATAGGACGCTTGGATTTGCAGCGAGACAACGCGAAGATGAGCAACGAGGAAAAAGTATCGACGCGCGTGCGCGTCTTCCGGTTGGCTTTATTCGGCAATGGCTCACCTTGGCGAGTACAGGATTGAAAGTGAACTTTGACTCCAGTTCTTTCCTCGGGGTCTGTGCGATCGCCGTCAGCGGAGTCGGCGGCATCATCATCTCCTGAAACAGCCAAACAACGAATAATTAGGTTAGGCTCAGTAGCGCTTATGCCTGCAGTATAAAGCAGGAAGAGTCTTGAACTTAAGAGTCCAGGATGTTGCTATACATACGTTTAACGGGCACACAGGGCAACCTTACTATCATATCTGTCGGTTGTAAATTTACTTGTATCGAGACACGCGAATGCGCAGCCAAGTGGGCTTCAGGCCCAAATATATTTGAGTACCCGCTATTGATTCACCGATTGACTCGTTGGCTGACCATGTGGACAATGAAGATGGGAGCAGGAAACCTCACGCGGACATCGTTAAATGCTCCTGGAAGGAGCTGCCAGAATTAAAAGTACTTGCACCGTCCTCCCATCTTCCCTCGAACCCGCGGGAAAGGCAATAGCGCGTCCTCGAAGATTTCTTGAGCCTGCTGACTCATCCGCGTGAATCGCAACTGCCTTTTCCTCCCGGTGGCCAATGCCAGGATAGCCGCCCTGGCCAAGACTCTCCTCGGCGTTTCGTTAGTCATCGAATACATATCGACAGATACGGCGAAAGGTTCCCAGTCAGCCCATACGGCTCAATGCAATTCTAACCACTGTCCCTTCTGCCTTGGCCGCGTCTCCTTCAGAGGCTGGGACTATTTCGAGATCCTCGGGAGATCGTCGAGTACATGAAATTCTAATGAGCAATTACTGAAGCGACCTGACTTTTCCCACGGACGGCCGTGAGAATGTAATTCGCAGCTCACCGCTGCATGTCGAGAGAGTCGAACGGCCCGGAGTGACAGCGAGTGCGCGAGCGTGAATCGCGCTGTCAGTGGAAAATTGTCAAAGTACGGTACGGAGTACTCTCGGGTCATTGAAATTCTTTACAAAGGACCTACGTTCGTTTGACACCGCCGACCTGTCGATAGAAAATCTGTGAAAAACCTGTTGCGAATTACGTAGGAGCTTCCGGTACGTTGACACGTCGGACCGTTAGAAATCGGGCAATTCTGTAAGCAGCCGATCGGCTAACAATCTAATCAACCGGCGAAACGGAAAGATGAATCACTGAAGGTCTCTTTTGGAAGCTAGGAAGACGGCGCTTCCTCGTGAGTCACGTTCACCATCGTATATTCCCCGTCGATCGATATCACGCTTTTACGGCTTGTATTTATACACTCGAACTCACTTTCAGGATATTTTCAAGGTCGGCAGAATTTTCGGTAGCTCCGTGCCGGCTATTCGTTCCCTGTAAAAGAAAGGCGAGACACGGTCAAGAAATAATATTCAAGTTCACTGCTCTTTAAATTGAGACAAGTTTCTTCCCATTGACTGGCCCACGCATGTGGGATGGACATGGGGAAACAAACAACGGCTCGAGATATTGAGGAAGACGGGCACTTACGTTATCCAGAGGCAGCCTGGGCAGTCGACCAGCCACCGAGTGTATCCTGCTTCCGGTACTTCCGGTGCTTCCGGCGCTGACGTTTCCAGCGGCGCCGTCGAAGTTTGCGTTTCCACTGAGATTGGCTGAGCCGGACGAAGAGGAGATACTTGACGTGGTGGAGGAGGACGAGGAGGAGGATGAATTAGGAGGAGGACCCTTGGCGGGAAGAAGCCCATGGCTGCGATGATCGTTACTGCTGCCGCCGTGTTTAACGGGTTGTCCCGAGTAGCTGCCCCTGCCACTGTAGGGTGGTTTCCCGTCAGCCGGTTTGACGAACCCACCGCGCTGAGAAGCGTGACTACTCGACCCGCTGGAGCCGCTGGAGCCGCTGGAGCCGCTGGGGCCGGTGCGTGGACCGCCAGGTTTCTTGAATTCCTGGGCGGACGGTGAGCTTCTCGAGGTCGTCCCTGAACTTGAACTTGTCCTGAGGCCGGAGGCTGAGGCCGGCGCCGGACTCGCAGGGACGCCCTCGATGCCGATGAGCCTCTTCGAGTCGTCGAGTACAAAGTGCTTCACCAGCGAGTAGTTGCCCAGCTTCGATTGTATTTGCTGAGTGGCGCGATCCTGGGCGTCGGGATTAACCTGGAATCAGAAAGAGCGGCCATTTTGAAGGAAGTCCTCAGGCTCTTACGTAATTCGAATCTTCCTCCCGACCTGGCGCCCGTTTTCCCTAATCATCGCGAGTCGCTCTCGGGCTCCGCGCCGAGTCCAATAAATTCTTGGCCTCCTCCTCGAAGCGCTTTTAAGCGCGCGTGACGCAAGTAACCGAACAGAAGCTTAGAAATAAGCGCGAATACGCCATGTTATTCCCGGAGTCCCCTTCCGCCGCTCTGACCCTGCCGGCGGAATGAATCAGCGGAGATCCGAGAAACAAGGGAGACCGGCAGCCAGCGCTAATCATCTTCCGGTCAAAGATGCCGCCTGTGCCGACTTCTTTTGCCACCTTCTCGACTGCCCATGTTATAACAGGGTTAACAGGGGCACGCGGCGACGCATGCAGCATCAAAGACCGTAGCTGCGTCCAGGGCACAGCGAGCAGCTGAGTTACCGTATCTGGATGGTCTGGATGGTCTGGATGGTCTGGATGGTCTCGAAGCGGCCCACAGTGAGAAACTGGCCGAAAGTGAGAGTCGTTTCGTTCCGATGGAAACGGGAGCCGAGAGAAAGGAAAGGAAGATGGAGAACGAGGACAGGGAGAAGAAGGGAGTCCAGCATCGCCGAGAGAGGAAGAGACGCCTCAATATTCGTCGAAACGAAACGATGCGACCTGCAACGCTTAGTCGAAGTTTGCGTAGAGACACGAAGGAAGCAGCAGCAGCGTGGGCGTGGTTCGGCAGTCGGCAAACGAGAAAGATAATATTAACCCGTGGAAGTTGCCGTTCTCTGTTGGAATTTTTTAAATCCAATAGAAATGTGCAGCTGCCGGCGATATCTCCGAACGAGGGATACGTAAGACGTGAAAGGTTTCTTGAGAAAGATGGAAAGTGGAAAAATCGAGGAGCGGTGCAAAGGAAAAGGGTGGAAGTACGTGTGACGCGGGAGGGGGGGGGG